AGAGAGAGAGAGAGAGAGAGAGAGAGAGAGAGAGAGAGAGAGAGAGAAGGAGACAGAGACAGAGTTCTTGGGCTAAAACAAGCAAATTTCAGAAAATATTCTGGAGTTGACTATTAAAAGTTATTCGTGAACATGATAAACAAAAACTGATGGTCTGCCATAAAATGGATTTCACAATACCATCTTGTCGTATAGTTAATTTCTCTGTTACAATGAAATAGCAATAATCCCTAAGAAAGTCATTGTTAGCATAACAACTTTATACAATGGCACCACTTTTTTAACTTAAATTTTATTTTATTTTTTTACATATTCACTTTACATCCCCCACTGACCCCCTCTGGTCATCCACTCCCATAATCCTTCCATCATCCCTACACCCTTCTCCTCTGAGTGAGTGGGGGGATGGGTACACGTTCCCCCCCCAACCCTGGCACTTCAAGTCTCTGTGAGGCTAGGCACTTCCTCTCCCACTGAGGCCAGACAAGGCTCTAGAATGTATCCCATGTAGTACCATTTTTATGTTCCCTTGTTTATAGATAAGGCTAGATAGCTTCCTTAATGTTGCATTGCTACCAAGTGTCAAACTCAAGATTTGAACCCAATTCTGAGATTCCAGAATATTTTCCTAGCAATTCCATAACTGTAATTTTGCTATGCTATACTAATTTTTATAGTCTACTATAGCACAATAAATCTATTAAATAGATCGGTCTACTAATCTATCAGAGAGACTGTACAGTTTTATATCAGGTGGCCTGGTATTGCCCAGTAGACATTGATCTCTTGTTAAATAAATACATCTTTGCTGCTATTTACCCTGGAACAGGTTACATAAAAATGCACGCATGAGAACCGTCTTTGTCATAAATGAAAAAGCAATCGAGAGCTCTGCCTTTGTGACATTTGAGTTAAGACAATATTTGAAACTGCTTTTTAATAACATCTGTTTACAGTGGCCTAATACATGTGGCATGTCTGAAGTTGGCAATCGCTTGTGCACCAGCTGCCCTGAAGGATGTCGGCTTTATGCTGCACTGTCTCTAGAGACCTCAGGAGACAATAGCAATTGTGTACCTCACTGAGGCATTTGACAGTTCCTTTAAATGACCTTGAGAATAAAATGGAGTAGCAACAGTTAGATCAATGGTTTTCAACCTATGGGTCCCTCCCCCTTGTTGGGGGTGGGGTCGAATGGCCTTTTCACAGGGGTCACATATCAGATATCCTGTGTATCACAAAAAGATGACATTACGATTCATAATAGTAGCAAAATTACAATTATGGAGTAGTAACAAAAATAATTTTATGGTTGGGGGTGTCACCACAACACGAGGAACTCTATTAAAGGGTCACAGCATTAGGGAGGTTGAGAACCGCTCAGCTAGATGACAATAGACATAGACAA